AAAACTGGGGCAGCCACGCTCTCTTGCAGCGACAGTCTGCACTGCACTCTTTTGTTTTCTCTCTTTTGAAATACTCGCTTATCAATTAATCTATAATTAATCATTAATTTTTTTGATGATCGAATAATAAATTTTGATCGTTTGCCCATCCCTAGCGGGTACACAACATCCTGCGTGACCAGCATCACCCTGCACATCACCTCTTCCGCCTGCTGCCCTCTGGGAAGAGATACAGGTCCATCCGTGCCAGAACCACCAGACTTGCCCACAGCCTCTACCCTCAGGCAGTGAGGCTACTAAATGAACAGCCCTCCCCCTTTCTGCCCCCCATCCATCTTCACACATTCCACCACTACAATCACTGTGAACTAGGTCTTGCATTGCTGCAGCTCCCAGACAACATTCCACTCACCTCCGTCTACTGCCCCAACCCCTGTTCTGTTTCACACAGAGGATGGCAGTTGAAGACTGTACCACTGCACTATTCTCTCTTGCACGAGTGACCGATGAATGTCTATTTCTGCTGCTGTAATGTTACTGTCCTTAAATGTCTGTGTATTTGTGGTTTTGTGTATTTGCTGTGCTGGACTTTATTGTCATATGCATTTAATGCACTTTTTAATACTTCTGCTGGGCTTCTCTGGACATTAATGTCATATGCACTTTTTGCACTTTCTAAAAATACTTCTATATCAGTATTAAGTTGCTCATAACGATATCTCGTTGTTATTTATAACTGTGTTATTATGACAATGACAAATAAAGTATTGATTGATTGACTGATTGAGTGCACAGTTGCCCACGTACAGTTTCACATGGTGTGTGTTTGGGATACAGGTCACAGTAAATTGCAGATTAAATAGTCAACTGAACCCAGTAAGAGGAGCAATGTATTCAGACAGACAGAATGACTGACTGACAGAATGACACACTGACAGTTTCTATGATTATGTGCAGCATACCATACCATGACTTAGTCATACCAAAAATTAGAAAGAAAAAAAAAACCTTTGGCCACAGGGGGAGCCACAGTGATCAGTCGCATTTTAGCCATTTTTAAGCATTTTTCTGTTGTTATAGCGCCACCCAGTTGCCAATTAGAGTTAAATTTCTCCAGTCACCTTGAGGCATCCTGTTTAGTAAAGAAACAGAAATTAGCTCTCTAGTGCCCCCATTTTGTTTGATCGGGTCAATAATGGAGGGGTCCCCCCAGATTATGTGTGGTCATATGTCTACAAAGTTGCGTGGTGATCAGTGAAACCCTTGAGATGTTATACACCCTTATGTGATGAGCCACGCCCTCCGCAATATCACTGCCTTATAGAAGCTCAGTTTTAAGTTTTCCAACTTTTGCCAAGAGGGAACTTTAGTTATTGGTAGATTATGTTCACTGAGTTTCATGCAGATCGGTCAAACTTCCTAGGAAGAGATCAATTTTAAGTGTTTTTCAAAAAATTCAAAATGGCGGAAAATCTATATAAATGGAAGTTATAGGTTCTTGAGGCACATATGTGCCTCATGAGGAGAGGCATCTCTGTGCAAAGTTTCATGTCTCTACGACATGCAGGGCATGAGATATGCCCATTCAAAGTTTGCAATTTCAATCAGTTGCTATGACATTTTTTTTATTTCTTTAGTTGTTCATTTTATTACAATAAATTACATATAATTTACCATCATCAACCTTGTCCTTTCCCATATTTGTCACAGCCAAGGAACCAGGTTTTGACACTGATGTAATGATCCCTCCCTTATTTTATAGGTTCCTTGGATGTGAACAGGAAGTACAACGTTGCCATGGAATCAGGGAGTTACACTACAGATAGAGACACTCTCTAGTCACAGTTAGGGTGCAGGGTGAGTGCGGAGTCAGCGAGGGGGAAAACAATCGTTTCCCCCAGCCTGTTTGTGCTGGAAAGCACGGTTCTTAATCTCACAAATTTACTTTAGATATCATTGATAAAATTTACTATAATATCAGTACCCTATAGCCATTTACACTATGATGTAACAGACTACCATGTTTTAGTGAACTCCATGCATGATTGAAGATTAAAGCAGTACCAAAGTTACGCAACATCATTAGCCTATGTTTTGACGTTGATTTGAAATCCCAAGGACTACAGGTCCACAACTCACAGCTTTTACCAGTGGCTAAACAATCAAACACTGTTTGGATAAAGCTTTAGATCTTTTTTTTTTTTTTTTTAAGGAACAGACCTGAAATTGCTAAACCAACCTGATTCCAAGTAAAATATACAGTAATTTTAGCATGTATAGAGCCAGCATATTTTCACATCTAACTGAGTGAATTGAGGGTTTATTTCAACCAAACCAGAGTTGATGATTGTTAAAGTGATGGTAAGACAAACCAAGATGGTTTCTTTCAGGGTTTTGTTTTTGTTTCTGTTGACTTAAATGAAGTGTGTTTTATAATGGTCAAATTCCTGTTTACTTAATGGAGTCTGGTAAGGATGAAGATAGCGATTTTGGGGCGGGGGATCTTAAGCTTTAACAATAAGGATCTTCTCTGTTGGGCTCTTTTCCACAATCTTACTAGTCCAAGGCTGTCAAAGACCAAAACAAGCACTTTTAGTGGACATAAACTGACTGTGTGAACATGTCCACAGTGTTTACAATGTTGCATGGCCACTGCTCTCGCTCAATACTGGACCAATTTCAACATGTTGTTCCCATTTGTCACTTTAGATGCAAAAATATGGGGAAATGGGGTCAAGGTGGAAAAATACCCATAAACTCTGGACTTTTAGGCTTATTTCATGTGCAGAAAGCCACACAGCAACTCTCTGGCAAGGTAGCAAATTCTTTGTTTTCCCCAGGCAGCAACCTCTAGAGCTGAAAACTGAAATCAACACGAAGTACCATAAGCTGCAGTTCCTTTAGTGGCCACTTGAGGCTGGCCCCAGAAGCCAGTCAATCCAACAAAAACAAACATGTTTACAGCCTGGTACAAAAATGGTTTTAGTCTCTGTAATTTATTTTACTCTTCATCAAAAGTGCAAGGTTGTAAATTTTTATATAACTCTCCCATTTAGATTTTATTAAGGCTTTAACTTACACATAATTAAGGGTAGATCACTTTGAATGACAGGCTGTCTGCTTGATCCACCCTCTCATCCAAATATGGCTACGTCCATTTTATTTACAGTCTATGGTTTTCCCCCCATGACATAAAAGGATGTGACATTTTGTGGGTGTTCCGTAAAAACTGACTGTATCTATAGGCTACACAAGTTGTTGTATTATTTTATTTTATTTTTTCCCAGAATGGCACTAAAAAATTTCGCGCTGTAGATGTATTTCATTGGTCGTCCACCAAAATTGGATCTCTGGTCGTAGAAGTCTTATCTCTGATAATATAAGGATATGACAGTTAATATGTAAATTAAAGTTCACCTCACTATTACCCCACCTCAAGAACAGACTAGGGGAGACACTCTGTGTTAATTGGAATATTCCTTATCAATATTTAAAAAAGGCTGCAAATAGCGTCTCCAAGGTTTATTAAGTATTACAGGCCCAGTTTGTAGGATTTATGGGGAATTTAGTGGCCTCTGGCATTGAGGATTGCAGATATGCAACCAGGTGAAACTTCTACTGGTTAGAATTCCTTCATTGTTCATTGCTCAGGAGAATTTTACTGGGAGCCAAATTATCTGCTTTACAACAAATGGTGATTTAAAACAGTAAAAACACTGAATAAAGCAGTTTCACATTTTTTAAAAATCTGTGTTTTTCTGACACTGTTCATCGTAGAGGGGCTACTACCTACAGTGGCTGACATGAAACTGCAAATAGCTCTATCTGGAGCCAGTTGGTTTGTCTGTTCTGGGCTAATGTACATAGCGCTGCAACATGGCGATCTCTGTGGATGAGGACCCGCTCCCTACATCAATATAAGAAGCTTATTCTTATTCATTTGCTCTCTTGGCCAGGTCTCCCTTAAAACAAGATCACTGATCTCAATGGGACTTACCTGGTAAACATAGATTAAATAAACAAAAAAATAAAATAGAATTCTGTAGTAGAGAAAACACAAAGATTCTTATTTTTAGGTTATTATACACAAAAGACACTACTTTATACATTATATTCCATTTCTGCTAATGTATCCCCCAATCCTTCACACCAGACTTTAAATTTTACTACTACATCATCATCATCATCATCATCATCATCACCACCACCACCACCACAACCACCTTTATTACTACTACTACTACTACTACTTTAGGCACAATAATAATATATAGTTAATGCTGAGCCGTGATGACAAATGTCTAGTACAGCAGAACACCATTTTTACGATACAGAGTATTTATTGAAAAACAGCAGGTAGCCCAGTATCACAAATCACCAATTTGTCGCAGGGGGCTTGAAAGTTTTTGATATTTAATTTGGTTAATACACAGTCACATTACTCCAGAAAAAAGAAGTGTTTCTGAGGCCATACCCATCCTTTGAATGAAAAGTCTATGTAGATGACTAATAACAAAATGCAATAAAAAGTAAACCAGTGCTTAAAGACAATGGATATTGCACAAAACCTCAGGATGGTAGGTCCACATGTAACAGGAAATAACATCATGTACCCAAAATTAACCAGTTGACATACTGGATGGTTACAAAGTAAATTTTGTCAGTCAGACTCTGAAGATAAGGATGACAGCGATGCTCATTTAAAGGAACTCTTACCTTTCTTGCATTTCACACAGCACTTAAAAAAAAAAATTGACCATCCACATCCTACTCCCCCCTCCTCCATTACGTCCTCATTACATCTAAGATAGACGTAGGCATTGGCAAGGTAACGTTAGATACACGGAAGAGGAGGACGAGTGTAACATTACAAATGCAACCCCGGAGTTTTAAAACTCAACCGGAATCAGCGATGACTGACGAGTTTTAGAATAAGGTTACAGTGCTAACATTAGATAGTAGCTTTAACGTTACTAGTAAGTGGAAATGCACAAGGAAGATAACGTTAATGTTTCAGAGGCTACACTACAGTAGGCCAACGTTAGCAGTTAGCAACTGGATGCTGTATTGTCATATATAACGTTACGAACTGAACTGAACTTCTCTGTCATTTTTATGCGCAGCACAAAAACGAAACGACATTTCGCATACCCAAAGCAAAAAAAAACAACATTTAAAAACAATTTGTGCAACATATAAGAAAGAACATATAGTGCAATAGTAAGATGAAAAGGGTCGACATTTCACAGTCAAAAACTCCTGAGAGCAGAACTGGGAGATCCTCTTCACATCACAGCACCATGAATTGTTTGTGTATACACCACGGAGCTTACCGGATGACGCAGCCTCCCCGTCTGCTCTATATAGTGTTAACCCCGTTAGCTCAACACTGGAGTCTGATATGTTGCCATTCACGCATGTCTCAGTGAACACAAGGACACAGCAGTCCCTCACACCTCGGTGAGTGGATCTCCACAGTCGGATGTAATCCTTTTTCGTGTCCAGCAAGCGGACATTCGCCAGAAGGATGCTGGGAACAGTTGGTTTGATGGGGTTAGGCTGAGAGCTAACCCCATCAAACCAGCTGTTCCCAGCGTCCTTCTGGCAAACGTCCGCTCCACGCTTCCCCTGCTCCCGCTTCCTGTCACAGCGCTGCCAGCGTCTCCCTGTCAGGACAGCTCCAGGCGATACCACGGTCATCTCAGGGCTAGCTCAACGTAACAGGCCAAGCTTGCTACACATCCTGAGCTCTCGCGGTTGTAGCGTTAGATCTCTGCAGCGGTTTCTAATGTCTGTTTGAAACTCGCGACTGTATTGCACTGAAGAATTTACTTCTTGTTGCACCGTAATTATAGTTTATACCCACAAGCGTCCCTGTTGCTAGTTTATATCCACAAGCGTCCCTGTTACTAGCGTATTTGTTGTCTCACAGACTCGGGGGTGGGGGTGTGGTGGGGAGATGCTACGCGAGTGGTTACGTCAGTCGGAGGCCTCCAGGAGAAAACTTTTTTCTTAGAACCATATGAGAATGGTATATTTATGAGTTTTTATTTCTGGTGGAATTCACTTACATTTTAGTGTACCATCAGCTTATTAATAGCATTTTAACCTAAACAAAGAAAAGTGTAAAATTCCCAGAAAGGTAAGTGTAGCTTTAAATGATTTCACAAACGAGCACAGGCAGTGACTAGCATTGATTAATCAATAAGGATTAATGCATCAACACTAAGATTCCAACATTTCTCTGGAAACAGTCATTCTTTGTACCTCTACTCTCTGTAAGATTTTGCTGATAATACTTATGTATTTTACTCGTGCAAAGTGTTGAATGCATGAATACATTTACACTGAGGTGTTGTTGCTTTAACGTAGAAGGATCTGACTTCTCCCCAACTTCTTCCACCACTAAAAGTACATTTTTAGTGATATCTTGCTCATAAAAACTATTAACTATTACACACTTCAGCAGAAATAAACAAGATATAATCAAGACTGCCTGGTAAATTAAATAAACGGGAATACTGCAACAGTTACATATTGTTCTATACTATAATAAGCAGAAGTAAAGGTAATATAACTTTAGCACAATACACTGCTACATGAGCTACTGAGCCTTACTGTCAAGTCGCTATACTTAACATTGTTTACTGCTGACCATAGCAAATACATTCATGCATGAGTCAGTTCATTAAAAAACACTTTGAAATGGGGAAGTTGAGTGTCCATCCCCTGGCTAGGATGGGAAGGGTGAGGTGCACTGCAGTTGAGCTTGTGATTATCACCGAGATGTGTTTTCCTCTACACAGTTTGATATGGAATGGGGTGCACTTCACTTCTCCTGCACTGCCGTTTTTTTTAAATACATATGCTCAGTCCTTGAGCGCTTAGAAGGTGGCCAAGGTATCACTGCTGGTCCTCCCTTCTAATGCTGCTTTTCTTCTAGCAAGAGCTGCTGGTTTTACACCAATCATTTTTGAAGACTGGAGATTTTTTTTATTTCAGCTGTGGCACCTTACCAAAGCAATGCAGACACAATGCACAGCTAATGTGAGGGAAGTATCATCAATTTTGCTGTAGGCTTCCAGAAAGGCACAGACTGGTGTTGTTGAGTTTATTTGTGATACTTTTGTAGATCTGCTGAATCATCTCCTCAAGGTGCTCTCCAGATGTGCCTTTAGGTAAAACACAAAACACCAATAAAAGGTAAATTATTTTGGCAACTTAAAAAAAAGAAGAAATTTTTCACAGTCAACAGAAAATACTGACAGAATAAGCTCATATTAATCATGTTTGTAACTTCTGACAGGGTTTCTCTTGCACTGGGACTGCCTTTGCCTCACTGGCTGCTGGCTCCTTCTCACTTACCACTGCCACACTACTGCACACTCACTCAACTGCAGTATTTATGCTGTTACATACCAGTGCATATCAATACTATTTATTTTAGTTCTTGATAATAACATTCCAAAAGGAATGCACATAGGAATAAGTAAAAACAAGGCATTAAAACAAAAGGGGAAAACAAAAGGAACACAAAGGCTACAGACTAATAAAAGGTGTAGGCTTATGCTAAAGCTTAATACGCCTCTCCTTTTTACTCAGCATACTAGGTTTAGGTTATACAAAAATTACTATTACTGCCTCACAGTTGTATGCTCTCTCTGATTTCAAACAACTTCTGAATACAGCTGGGAAGCAAATTATCTTTTGCTTTATAAAATTATACTCAACCCTATAGTATTTGCTCCTTTTTTTCACAGGTTTAAGTTAAAGATCTAAGACTTTTTATGCACTCAATAGATATTTTTCTCTCAAATTCTGGTCACGAATGTAAAATAAAAAATCTCTCCAAGATAATCCATCCACCTGACAGATGTGGCATATCTAGATGTTGCTTCAACTCTAAATGTCCACAAATGATAAGCATGCAAGATGAGCTTTTCTCAGACAGCTTCAACATTTTGTGCAGAAATTCTTTGGTTGTACTAACCACTAGCATCAGCCTGGGGTGGCTGCTCTCAGACAACCTTGTATGTGAAAACGTTGGATATGGAGGTGGTTACGTGTGGTCTGCTTTTGTGAGGCCAATGGGATGTACTTCCAAATTTACCGCAGATGGCTTATGGGCGTGAAATAATCATTTCGATCATGGGCAACAACTATGGTGGACATTCCTGCAGCCAGCACGCCAATGGCACTCTCCCTCAAAACTTGTGACATTTGTGGCATTGTGTTGTTGGGGTCTACTAACGGCAGGTTGGTTATTAAATTAATTACTTATTAGGGCTGCTCAATTATGGAAAAAATCATAATCACGATTATTTTGATCAAAACGATTATGCGGCACACGTGATGACTTATATTGTTTACACGACGGCATGTAATTTCTGTCTCTACATGGCCACACATTTACAATTCTCCTCTGCTCTCTGTATTGCGCACGGCGGAGTTCGGCCCCGATGCACACGTACGCACGTACGCACGCACGCACGCACGCACGCACGCACACACCAACCTCCCTTGCTCTCCCTCCCTCTGCCATTTTCCGCACGCTGTTTTTGAAATCTTCCGCAATCTCCTGCCCCTCGCATTATTCGTAGTTCACCTACTTGACTGGCTCGTGGAGTGAACAGAGGAGAGGAGGGGATGGGGCGGTATTGCGCATGTGCAGCTTCCGTAGAAGACAAAATAACATCTCCAGCATCCGAGACTAAAAATCCCTCGATTTCATTCATTTTGAAATCATTTGACCTCAAAACTGTAATCGCAATCACCAGACGATTAATTGCACAGCCTTATTACTTATTGTAATTAACTGAGAAAATACATTATTAATGTAAATCAATAATTCCGAGGCACCACCCTGGGATCAGGAATCAATGACCAACCTGTATTTAGTCAAAAGGGGAATCTTCGTCTAAGTTTGTTAACATATATAAAATATTAAAAATTAAACAGGTTAGAAGCCGTGGGCCCAATCACTGACCATCTCAACCAGCTGTTGATACAACAAACAACGCACAAATAACCACAGAGGACTGCTCTAGTAAAGTCACAAATGTTTATTAAAGCAATAATCAATCAACCAATCAAGCACTTGAATTAATAAACACACTGGACTGATGAACTGTAGATGCAGCAAATCAAGCCATGCAAGTGGATCTGTGTGTGTGTGCGTGTGTGAGGGGGAGGGGCGAGAGACAGAGAGAAAATGGCAGACATGACTTCATGGGGGTCACACCACCACAGACCTAAAATGGCGGACGCGAACACATCACGCCAGGTGCTGATAAGAATAAGGTGGGAAATTTGAGCAAAACAATGGTGACAAAGCTGCTGGCTCCACGTGCTCCTTTAAAGTACGCACAACATGGCGTCTAGCGGAACTGAAAACACTGTATGCTCTAACAAAGTAGCCGTGCTTACATGTGTGTGTGGAGGCTGTGGTAATGGTGAGTTCTCCTACGGAGTCGCTAACAGGGTAATGTGTGATTTTACCACAGATATAAGTGTACGTGTGAGTGTAGGTTTGTAAGAGAGGAAAGAGAGTGAAGAAAAAGGAGGGCAGGCGCTCTGAATTGGCATGGGGAAAAAGCAGCCGCAGAGAGACACAATGGTCGCTTTCCTATTTCTCAGGGGCAAATAGACGAACTGGGGTCAGTCTACTGTCCGCTGGTATTTCCAGATAGAAATGCAGCGTATTGTGAATGCATGGTGGTGCAGACTAACGGCAGGTTATCCACCAAGTGAGCAACAACAAATCGGCTTGCAACAAGCCCAACAACAAAACAGCAATCAAACATGATAAGTCCACAGCAACAGTTCAGATTACCTGCTAAATGGAAAGTCTCTGCCCAGACTAAAGCTCTCCACCTCGTTCCATTGTTGCGGGATGAGTGCACAGGGCCACTGTAGCATCCTACAGTGGGATGAATGGGGATGTCCTCGATGTGGCAGAAGAGGGATCAGCGGAGTCGTGTGGATTGAAGAAGCGGGGCCTTAGCGTTTCGTCTTCTTCTGGGAGAAAGGGTTTTCTGTAAACTCTCAAGGAAGGCGACCGAGGTTGTATAATATATCTACAATGCTAACATACACCCATTTCTAATGGGTGAAGCCTTGGCCTGGAGGAGAGGTCATCAGGTGGTCCCCAACCTTCTCTGGGTGTTTTGACCCTTAACCACAACACCCTCCAGTTGGCGGGTCAGCAGTGATTGGCAAGGTCACTGCCCCTCTCCTCCTGGCTTCCAGTTTGTGTCCTCTCTCTTGTGCCAGAGCCAACAGGAGGCTCTCTCTGACGCTTCTCCCAGCCTACGAACGGCTGCTTTCCTCAAGTGGCCTCTCAGTCCAACCTTTGTCACTAGCTTCCACACAGATTGAGCTGGGAATCCTTGACATCCAACTTCCACCGTCATCAGCCATTTTGTCCACCCCTTATCCTGGCAGTCTTGGACAAGTTGCTGGTATGTGGCTTTTTTCCTCTCTGCAGCTTCCTCACAGCCCTCCTCCCACGGCGCCATCAACTCCACCAGGATGATCTTCTTTCCCTCTGGAGACCACATGATGATGTCGGGTCTTTGAGTGGTGGACAGCACCTCCTCTGGGAAGTGGAGTTTCCTCCTGAGGTCAACCTCCATTTCCCATCCCTGGGCTGACTGCAGGAGATTCTGCTTGGCTTGGCTGTGGGCGACAGGTCTTTGACCCTCTTTCACAAAGGCGATGGTGCTCAGCAGTGGCCTTGCTTTGGCTGGTTGTTTCTTCTTCCTCTCCTGCTCCAGGATGTCTGCGAGCACTGCCAACACCTTGTCATGGCGCCACCTGTATCTCCCCTGTGTCAATGCGGTCTTGCACCCTGACAGAATGTGCGCCATTGTTCCTTTCCCGCCACACAACCTGCACATTGGGTCCTCCCTCATCCCCCACCTGTGCAAATTGACTGGGGTTGGTAAGGTGTCATACATTGCTCGAAGTAGACAGGATATACAGAAGGGCTCCAGCCGCCACAGTTCACTCCATGTGATGGTTCTCTTGGGGAGGTTCCACCTCGTCCAGGCGCTTTGAGTTGCGAGCTCCATGGATTTTGCTCTTCTCCCTTCTTCCTCAAGGTTTCGGACTTTATCCTGGATCATGGTTCTCTTCTCCCTAGGGGTGGACTTTGACCACTGCTGGAAATGTGCTGTACCTAGACCTTGTCTTCCAGTGCAAGGGTTTCCGATGATGTCTTTGGTCCTTACAGAACATTCTGCCTGGTTAATTGCCATGCTGGCGGCCCACTTACGGCCAGATCTTGTTCTGACTTCTGCTTCCCTGGTGAGTTGGTCTTGAGAGTCCCTATATGTCAGGGACAGTCTGGACTTGGCGACTTTAAACTCCTCCACCACTGATGACAGGGGAAGCTGGAGCTGGCCCGACCTTATGTAGAGCCCCAAGGATGTAAAGCTCGGGGGTATTCCCAACCGTCTTCGAAGGTGCTTGTTGAACTTCCTCTCCATCTCTTCAACAGTTGATAGGGGCACCTCATAGACAGTGAGAAGCCACATGAGTCTCGGGAGCAGGCCATGTTGGTAGATCCAGCACTTGTATTTCCCAGGCAGGCCGGACTTGTCAATCCTCTTCAACCACTCTTCGATTTGTTTTCCGGTGTTGGAGATGCTGTTCTTGTCTGACAGGGAATCATCATACCACTTTCCAAGGCATCTAATTGGGTTCCCCTGGATTGTTAGGGATCACTTCCCCTTGAACAAGTAGCTTGAACCTTCCAGTTGTTCTTCCCTTTTGGATCACTAGGCTCCTTGACTTCTTGGGCTTGAAGACCATCTTTGCCCAAGTGGCCATGCGATCCAGTTCTGTCAGGACCCATCTTGCCTGCACGTGAGTTGGTGTTATCATGGTAAGGTCATCCATGAATGTCCTGATTGCTGGCTGTTGACATCCTGCAGCGGTCTTCGGCCCTCTTGACTTTGTACTCGCTGCAGAGATGATCATGTTCATTCCCATGATGAACAAGATGGGAGAGATTGTGCATCCTGTCACTATCCCCTTCTCCACTGGCTGCCACACTGTTGTAAACTTGGCGGACTGGAATCATAGCTTGATGTCTCTCAGGTAACTGGTGATCATGCCCTGGATGTTATGTGGGATGTGGTAGTAGTCCAAAGCAACTTGGATCAAGTTA